CTCTGCATCTGCAGGACAAGAGTACACAGTCAGTGGCCAATAAATGTTGGTGAAGAGAGGAAGAGAGAGGGAATAAAATAAATTTTATGTCTATTTTCTCCATCAATTCTCTTCTCCTTCATCCTCATGTCATGTCTTCCTATTACTTCTCTCCAAACACTAATACATCATCTTTATCCTTCTCTTCCTAGTTTCAATTCACAACTTGCAATATCTCTCTTGGGGTCCTAACTATTGCAAAAATGCTGATCTGGTGTGTGAGTAGCACAGGTTTCACAGTTTGTTGCTCCTTAGCATTGCAAAGAAGAGGATTGTTTTATCTGGCGCTGGATTAGTCTCCATTATATCTCCTCTTCTGTTTTAGCTAGGGATTTTTAACATGATTGAGTTTTACCTAGTTTTCAATGTTAGCAGCTGGGTAAACATACTTTCTGCAACACCCTGGATAAAATGGCAAACTCCAGGGGAAAGTCTTCTACCTTTAGATTAATAAAAAAGACTTGCTCACAGCCCTGGCTGGGGAATAGTAACACCTGAGAACATTTGAGGGGAATTGTGTGTGCTGGCTGTGGAAAACGCAGCTGATGACCAAAACAGGCAGCTGCCGTCCTGAGCGAGGCTGACCGCCCTCAGAGAGTAGCTTCAAACTGTACTTAGCAAGAATAACAGACAAGTGAGGTAAGTGACTGACAACTCTGGTAGGTACTTCCAAAAAAGCCTGCACTTTTCATAGGAGAATCACCTGATTCTAAAAAACATAAATGAAGGCTTACAAGGGACAGGGAGGGGAGTACTCAAAAATTGCTCAGGGAAAATACTTTGGAAGGAAGATTTTGAAACACAATAGGAAATTCACGTGTATATTTACAAGCGCCAACTTCGTAAAAATCCATGAATGCTTCTGTTTTCACTGTCTTCAAATTGGGTACAAAGGAGGAGAAACCTTTTTAAAACAAATACAGTGAGTTCATCATTCCTAGAGTTTGTTTTTAAACTTATCTGCTGTGCAAATTCACTCTCATGAATCCCTCCATATTTTTACATGTTTTAAAGATTTTCTAAAATAAAAATATCAGGCAAGGAAAGTATCTATAAGTATTAAAGGAAAGTGCTTGTGATGTAAGGTTTAATAGAAGACAACAGGCAAAAACACGATAGACTCACATGGTAAAGTTGATTATCTGTGAGTGGCTACAGTTACTAAAACTATGTTTTTACTATGGAAATGACTGGCAAACCGCATTTAAAAAATTGGAGCATGTATATCAACATGTTGAAAAAATACAATAAATGAGTAACAGGCACAGTCTGTAACTGCAATACTTTTGCAAAATAGAAATTTTTAAAAAGTGGTTATTATGAAAAATATGGAAAACTAACTTCTTAGGCTCACTGAAACAAATGTGTTAAGGAATAGTTCAAAAATAACCACTACAATGTCTTCTAGAAAGTCTGCAATGGTTACCAAATGAAAATTCAGGAGGGCAAGGATTCTTTACTGTATTTTACTGCTATATTACTAGTGCTCAGAACAATTCATGGCACACAGTAGGTGTTCGATAAATGCTTGTTGAATACGTGAGAGACTGAATAAATGGAGGAGAAGCATAGACCATTTCAACCTAGCCCTCTGGTCTCTCCAGGTAAGAAACAGGGTCTTCCTGACTCCATGTTGCTGAAATGCTTTGACCTCTCCTCTACTAGGTAGAGCACTCCCTCCCTTGATGCTCTCTCTTCAAGTTAAAGAGAAAAAAGTTGCTAATAAGCAAATCCATTTTATGCACCCCCCCACAAAAAAAATGCTTTATTTCACAAGTTTAATAAACTACTTTGTCATAAAGGCTTTCATTATTTCATGACACGATCTGCCTGCCATGGGCTCCCACTCTCTCTGAACCAACCTAACACCCCTCTTCTCTTGCTCCCCCAGATCCAAGCACACTGTCCTCTGAGTTACTCCATAAACTCTGCCTGGAATGCATCTCCCAGATGCCTGCCAGCCTCCTTCAGACATTTTCTCTCATTTCTTGCAGGATTCTGCTCAAATGTCACTTTCACAGAAAAGCCCTCTGTGACCAGGCTAAATGAAAAACCCAGCTTCACACTTAACTTCTGGCATTCTTCCTTGTCCTGGCCTGCATTATTTTTCATGGATACACTTGGTCTGTTTCATTCACTTCTCTATCCCCAACGCTTGCAACAGTGCCTACTACACAGTTAGTGCTCAATAAATATTTCTTGAGTGCATAAACAAACAAGGACACAGTCATATTTTATGTGCCACTTCAGGGAGGCAATATGAGAGATGAAAAAGGTGTTACATTTTGAATCCCATTTCTAACTATTCACTATGTGCCTGACCTGGAGACCACCTCCCTAAATGTCAGAATTTTCATATCAAGTGGGAATAGTAACACTTATTTGGCATGTACTTGGCAGCCACCAAAGGCTGGTTCCACCCCTTCCTTTCTCCCTGGCTCCTTTTTTGTGGCTGTGAGCTAATGTAACACTTTTGTTAGGAAATAAAATGCCTGCAAGTTCTGAGGTGACTGTGCAATGTGTGTGCTGAGCAAGACAAGAATGTTGAGAAGGCCCTGGAGCAGTATCATTCATAATGACAACCAACATTGATTGTACTTCCGTTTGACAAGGGACAAAGCACAAAAAGGACAACCTTCTTTTCTAAAGGTGCCATCATCTGACTGGGAACAGAGGCTTCTAGAACTGGCCTTGAAACATGACTAAGTTTCAGAATAGTGGTAATCCTGAGAAGCATTTCAGAGAGGAAACTAAACCAATAGGGAGGGTGACTATAGCAGGGATGTCCTTTGGAAACATGTTAGAAGAAGAGTGGACAGGAAAGGTGATGTCAGATTATGGAAGACCCTGCATGCCAGGCTGGAGGCTATGTCTAATCATGTAATTTACGAAGCACCACTAATATTTTTGAATACTGGAAAAACAGAATCATATAATGAAAATGACAAATTTTAAAGAACCTGTAGAGACTTCTCAAAGCCAAGCACTAAACAATACTAATGATCCCAGTGCTATTTGTTTGGGAAAATAAATGATAAGCTTATAAACTGGAATGAATCAATATTCTAATTCTAATCTTCCCAGATCATCACTATTTGAACTACCTTGGAGGAGAAGAGACATGCTAGAAAAGACTTGGAGAACTGCAACCCATAAGAAAATACCAAAAAATGTCAGCGCACTAGCAGAAGAGAGCACAAAAGCTAGCCTCCAAGCAGCCAAGGGCTCTATCTGTGGTCTGTGTTTTAACAGCAGTACAAATGATGATGTGACCTCCTTATGAAATTTCCTCTCCTAGGACTACCCCCTCCCCCAATCCAGTCTCTTCCTTGCACATTGATTCCTTACTTATTGTTAAGTCTGAACAAAAATATAACAATCTTACGAATACCAAAATGCTGAAACTTCTACTTCTGTATATAAAAGAACAGAAAGAAGAAGGTTGCAGATTATTTAACTCACACCAAAGAGGGAAAATGGAAATGAGTATGTTACAGATGCTACTAAAAGTCATTCCACAGTTGAACTCCATTACAGAATTTAACAAGGAATAAAAGTTTTAAAACATAGGAAACCAATCTAGGTATCATATTTTCCTTGGGATCTACTCTTCTTGCAGCATGGTCATGATTTATTCAGATTATCAAAGAGCTTCTGATAAGGTTCTCACAAGTGGTTATTATTGAAACTTGGTAACCATAGTGTGAAAGGAAAAAGTTTTATCAATTAACTATATTAATTACAAATGATTGAGAGGCATAGAGGCAAAAAGAAGAAATAAATGGGCAATTCTCATGTGGAGAAAAGTTAGTCATTGAGGGCTCTGGGGCTTCGCGGTAGAATCAGAGTTATATTTAACCAGGGACACCCAGTTCTCCTTCCCCCATTCTGTGTCTATCAGTCCCACAACACACAGTCCCTCTATTGATGTGAACAGCATTTGGCACATGGAAAAGATACACGCAGTGTTTAAAATCACAAAAGTGTTTAAAGTTACAAAAGTATTTCAAATCCAGGAAATAGAAAATAGATAGATGAATGTTGATTCAGATATTCCTACAGACATCCCCAAATACAAAGACAACAAAAATAAAAACAACAGCAGAATTTTAGTTCTTATAACTTTGATGTATACTACATAGAAACACATGAGCCTTTTCAAAAGACTGGATATGGTATTTAAACAAAATTACCTAATCTATTGGCATGATGAGAGCAAATTTTCAATAGAAGAAAAATTTATGTGGGCATTTCGATCCACAAAAGCCACAAAGCCTATTTGTACAGATTCAGAAGACATGTAAAGGCAAACAAAAAGTGAAACTGACATGGAACAGTAAGAATAATTACTTTTTTTCAGACAAACTTGAAAAATTGGTACAGGTATTACAAATAAATAACCTGACATTAATGGAAAAATTTGGCATTTGCAAAGATCCAGAAATAACATCATGATTCACAGGAGTGGCTCAGAAATGCAAACCAACTCTTGGTTTCACCTCTCTTTGCCTTGTTTTCCTTACATGTAAAATGGAAATAACAGAACTTACCTCACAGGATGATTATGAGAATTAAATGAGATAATGTATCTAAAGCATTTAACACAATGAAAGTATGAAATAATGTTAAATTATTATTGTTGTTGTTGTATTTATGAAAAACTAAACCCAAACAGCTACAGGACACAGAGAAACAACCTAATTCAAGTCATGGTGACTTTCTTATTTATATCATTGTTATGACTCAGTACTTAACAAAGCATATAAAATGTGTTCAAGTGCTTCTAAACAAACAAACAAAAAAAACCCGCAGCTTTAAAATCTCTCCACTAGCCAGTTTTGTAAAATGGAAGAGAATTACAAATTGATCTCAAATAAGCCAAGAAAAAAACCCACAAAACACCAGATAAATGCTTATCATATATTAATTCTTAAATGGATGAATACAAGATCCAAACTTACCGTTCAGATAATATTTTAATAAGTTCTTTTCTATTCTGTACCCGAAGGTGGTTAGTTTTATACTTGGAGTCATCAATCAACTCAGGCAAATCCAAGATCTAAAAGGGAAAAATAATTTTCAAGTATAAGAAGTAGATTGTTCTTGTACCTGCCTCTGGGTGCCAGTGTTCAGGTCTTGTCTCTCCCTTCTCAAGAACATTCCTTGCTGGTCTTTATGCCCCTCAACAAGGACATATGGAGGGAACAAGAACACAGTTAGGATGGATCATGCTGGTGAAAGGGTTTGTCATTCATAAGAGGCTTTTACTACATTTAAGCAAATATTCTTCCATATAGGAGAACAGCAAAAGATCCCCATAAGTCTTATGCCAAATATGAGAATATAGGAAACATGTTATCAGATTACCATAGAAAAAAAATCTTGTTTAGAGGAAATAGGGAGAGAGATGCTAAACTGGGTAAAACAGACCAAATTTTAAAAACCAATATCATAAGTGCATACCTACATGTATCTTGTATACAGTCAACATGCACCTTGTAGATATATTCACTTATTTATTCCACATGTAAATAAAATACTGTGATCTTCCCAGGTTGTCCTATGCAAAATGTTCTAAAAGCTGCTAAAATAAAGTAAAAGCAAATACGTTTGCCCAAATTCTCACCATTTAAACAATAGCAAATTAAAAGATCTTCTTCTTATAGAAGTATCACTATTTTTTATTAATATATCTCCCTGAAGTAATACCAACTAGAAATGCTTTTATAGATTTCCTCTTTTGCTCCTCCTCAATAAGGGGAAAATCTATCTTGCAAGTCCCTTTGGACAACGTTCAATGTTAACAAGACTATAATGAAAGTACCAAGTGGATTTGGAATGGAAAAGTTTTACAAAGACTGTGTAGAGGCAGTGCTTGGCAGTTGTGTTGGAAAGTTACAAGGAGCATTTACAGCCTGGGGGCAGGCCATGCGGCCTACAGAAAGCTTCATTGTCTTTATTAATGTATTTGCAAAGGAGAGAGAAGTGAAGAAGATTCCCCTGAGTAAAGAGACCATCTCAGTGGTGTAATTTCTTTCACATGTTTCAGTTATTTCCTTTAGGAATAATAAAGACAGCATTAATCTCCCAGATTTTAAAAACCAACACCACATACAGCACCCTTTCTAGAAATCTCCCTGTCACAACACCTGATCCAAGAATTGGCCTCAAGCCTTGTCTAGCAGTTAGACACCCTCCCTCCCTAAGAGTGAATAAGTCATTCCAAAAAAAAAAGCAAGTGTCTTCACTAAGTCACAGGTTAAATTTACAAACTTGACCTTACCCAAAAAGCACCATCAGCAACAAAAAATTACACAGTGACCACACTTAAGGGTAACTGGAATGCCCATGTGTCCACTGTATTTGACTTAATGGGACTCTTTTCTGTTTCAAAGATGGTGTGAAATTGTTGGCCAAAGTAATAATCCTTCCATCTTCAACTATGCCAGCTAACATTCAAAATGTTTCTAGAGAGACAGCTTCAAGGACTGTGATCATAACTATTATTTTGGAGCTTAAATTTAAAAAGAGTGCTGCCTGGAATAAAACAAAACAATGCACATGAAAATGCTTGACATATTAAGCAGTAAATAAATGTGAAGTATTCCAACTAGGTACTGTTTTCCCCAAAAGAATTTTTTTTTTTTTGAGACAGAGTCTCACACTGTTGCCCAGGCTGGAGTGCAGTGGCACGATCTCAGCTCACTGCAACCTCCGCCTCCCAGATTCAATGGATTCTCCTGCCTCAGCCTCCTGAGTAGCTGGGATTACAGGCATGCATGCCATCATGCCCGACTAATTTTTTGGATTTTTAGTAGAGACAGGTTTTCACCATGTTGGTCAGGCTTGTCTTGAACTCCTGACATCAAACAACCCACCCACTTCAGCATCCCAAAATGCTGGGATTACAGGCATGAACCACAGAGTCTGGCCAGAAATTTTTAAAAAGCATATATTGGTTCAAACAAGAAAGGAGGGAGGGTTCCGCAAAAAAAAAATGAAGAGACATTGGCAAAAACAAAAAGAAAGAAAATAACAAAACACCATAAACTGAGTGACAAACATTTTCTAAAAAGGGGAAAAGAGAGAAAAAATAATGAAGACCCATGATAATAAAAACTGCAAGTGTTTTAACATGCCTGTCATCTAAAGCCCCCCTTATAGCAAAAACCAAAATCCTTAAGATAGTCTGAAAAGTTCTACACGATATGGTGCTATTACCTCTCTAACATCACCTTTTACCATGCTCTCCTCCCTTGCTCATTGCTGCAGCCATTTCATCTTCTTGCTGGACTAGGAACATGTCTATTCCACTTCAGCCTCAGGAGTTTTAAAATAGCTATTCCTTTGCTTGGAACATCTTCCACCAGACATCTAGTCGACTAGCTCCTCCTTTCCTTTGTTGAGTCGACTCAAATTCAACTTCTTAATGCAACTACCCCCACCTGATTACCCTACCCCCACCACAGGCCACCCCACCCCACTCAACACTGACTCCCCTGATTCCCTCTTCCCTTGCCCATTTTTTCCCATAATATTTATCACCTAACATATTTATCATGTTTATTACTCCATATCTGTCTGCCCTGCTAAAATGTAAGCTTCACAAAGTCAAAATATTTTAAATGTTTTGTTCACTGGTATAGCCCAAATGCTGACAACACATTCTTCAACTGACAAGCTCACAGATAAACAATGTGAACACTTCCAGGTGTATGATATTTCAGACATTATTTTTTGCATATACCTTATTCCATTGTGTCTAAAATCACTTTTTAGCTGCAGCCAGGCACGGTGGCTCATGCCTATAATCCCAGCACTTTTGGGAGGCCGAAGCGGGTGGATCACCTGAGGTCAGGAGTTGGAGATCAACCTGGCCAACATGGTGAAACTGCATCTCTACTACAAATACAACAATTAGCCGGGCATGACAGTGGGTGCCTGTAATTCCAGCTACTCAGGGGGCTGAGGCACAAGAATCATTTGAACCCAGGAGGCGGAGGTTGCTGTGAGCCAAGATCACACCACTGCACTCCAGCCTGGGCAACAGTGTGAGACTCCATCTCATAAATAAAAATAAATAAATAAAATATATAGGTGCTTCTTAAAAGCTATATGGTCTCTTGAAAGAGTTGTTTGTCAGGAGAAAATTATGAAGAGTTGTCATTGACTGTAAGTCATAATGTTCATATACACCGCCATCACTTTATGTGCATTACTGATACAACACATGTTAAGTTTAATTGCCATTTAAAATGGCATCCAGTATAATAGAAAATATAACTCAATACTGAAATAAAAGATCTTTGCATATGCAGGAAGGTGCAGAAACAGAGAATCACTTGCAGCATAAGAACTACTGGAATCTAGTTTTTAGATAAAGGAAAAGGCAACATCTCTCTCGTGAAATGTGAGGTTTCACAATTTCTCAACAAATTCAGACCATCTGATCTTCCCTCTGCCGGTATAAATGTTAAATAAGTATTTGCACAAGAATTTGTTGCAAACAAGTTTTCTGAGATGACAAAAATTGGTCCATAATTAATATAGCCCCACTCCAGCTTTCTTTTCATTAGCGTTTGCACCTTTTGTTTGTGTTTGTATATTTTTCCATCCTCTTACTTTAACTTGACAGTATCATTATATTTGATGTGAATTTCAAATATGCATTGGACAGCATAGAGTTGGGTCATTTTTTTCTGACAACTTGTTTTAATTCATAATATTAAGATCATTCACATTTAATGTTATTCATATTTTTGAATGAATTAGATCTATCAGTTTATTCTTTTTTCCGTTTATTCGTGTTTTGCTTTCTGGTATTCTTTAGAGTTGTTACTATTACATTTACCTATTTCGATTTTGGCTATATTTCTGCATAGATGTTTAATGATAGATGTTTATTGCTTAGGGGATCATAATGCATATACTTTTCACAGTGTAGTTAGAATCAAAATTTTACCACTTCAAGTGGAATATAGCAAACTTACTGCAATATAGTCCCTTTACTGTCCCCATTTTATGTTGTATTTATCTGTACGTTAGAGCTACATACACCGAAAATCCCATCAGACAGTATCTTAATGTTTGCTTTCACCCATCAAATATTTCAAAGAATTCACTAGGAAAAGAACAGACCATTGTATTCACCCAGATATTTACTATTTATGTTGCTTTTCCTTCATTTCTCATGTTTCCAGTTCCCTTCTGACAACATTTATCTTCTGTAAATGAAAAAATTCCTTGAAAAATTATTTTAGAGCAAGTCAGCTTGGTTTTCCTTTATACAGAATGTCTTTATTTAACCTTCATTTCTTAAGGATATTTCTACTGGATATTGAAATCTAGGTTGGCATTTCTTTCCATTCAGCCTTTTAAACATGTTGTACCACTTCTTCCCTAGCATTAATTTCTGACAAAAAAAATATGCAGTTAATTGAGTCACTGATCCCTCATAGATAATACATTCTTTTTGTCCTCTGAGTGTTTTTCTGGATGATTTTTGTGTATCCATTGTGTTACAACTGCCTATAGTATTGAGTACAGTAACATGTACATGCTGTACAGATTTATAGCCTAGGAGGAACAGGCTATCCCATATAGCCTAAGTGTGTAGCAGGCTATACCATCTAGGTTTGTGTAAGTACACTCTGATATTCACACGCCACCACCAACTGACACATTTCTCAGGACATATACCTGTTGTTAAGGGACACATTATGTTTTCATGCATAGATTTGTTTCAGTTTATCCCATTTATGGTTTGCCAAAATTATTAAATCTATGGGCATTTAACTGTTACCAAATTTGGTATATATACAATTGTTATTTCTTCAAATATTTTCCAGCATGTACACTTTCTCCCCTCATTCTGGGACTACAATGACATAAATATTGGGCTTTTTGTTATTGTTGCACAGGTTCCTGAGGATCTGTTATTTCTTGTTTTGAGTAGGAAGGAGCTATCTTTTGTTCTCTCTATTGTTCACATTGAATAATTTCTATTGATCTATCTTTAAGTTCCTTGTCATCTTCATTGCACTATTGAGCTCAACCGGTGAGGTGTAATTTTTTTCTTGGTTATTATACTTTTAAGTTTTTAATTTTCCCTTCGGTTCTTCTTCATATCTTGTATTTCTTTGCTGAATATTTCTATATCCCATTTATTTAAATAGTATTTGTGATGCTTTTTAGAACATTGTTATAATAACTATGTGAACATCTTTGTAAGTTAATTCCAACATCTGCATCATCTTTGCATTGGCATTGATGGCCTTTTCTCATGCAAGTTCTGGTTCTTCATATGCTGAGTAATAATAGATTGTATCCTGGACATTTTGAACATTATATTATGAGCCACTGAGTCTTGTTTAAATTATAAGGAGAATTTTCACTCTTGCTGATTTAGCAGACAATTGACCTGGTTACATCCAAGCTGCCAGTTCTAACCCAACTTCTGTGTGCTCTGATTCTCATGTTGATTAAGTTTTCAAAGCCTTTGCAGTGTTATTTGAATCTGACTAGTATGTGCCAAACCTAATGGTCATACGACAACCTGGGCAGTTGTCTATTTATTAATACAGTTCCTATCATCTTTGGTATGCTGATTAGGATCAAATTAGTGCATATGCAAGTAAGGGGTGATCCCAAGAGTTCATAAACAACATAAAGGATAGCATCAAGATCTTCTCTTGGCAATTTCTCTAGCATTTTCCAGTTGCCTGGGGCTCCTGCTTTAGTTATCCCACTCCCCAGCATGGTTTCAGGGCAGAGGCCATGCAATGGGAGGATGAAGGGGAAAAAAGCAACAAGGAATCACTCCTTTCTTTGGGATCAATGAAGAAAGTTCTTCTTTCGCAAAGTTGGCTCCTGCTCATCTGCTGTTTCCAATACAGGATTACTTGGGGTCTGGGGCATAAGAAAATGGAAAGGAAGGGAAAACAAACTATATCCATACTCTCTCTGACATTACAGCTCACTTTTTCATGTTCTTTGCCCCAGGAATAAAGAGCATTTCCTGGATATCTGCTGCGTTGCCTGGTGCTCACTTCCAGGTTTCAGGTTCAACTATACTCGAGTGAAGGAATAACTGGAGGGAAAAGCTGGTTAAGTTGACTGCCGGTTAGAGGTACTTCAAATTTGGGTGTTCTCCCCTAAATCTCTTACTATTTACTTTTCAAAGTCTTTTAATACATGCTTCATGGACTCATGTAATTCTGTCCAAGTATGATCACCGTGCTCAGGGTAAGTGGGAAAAGTGTATTTACTCTATCCTCCTCAGAACCAGAATCTTCACATCTAATTTTCATAGATGTCATTTATTAAGTACATATGAGCAAGGCCTATTCTAAGTGCTTCACTTCTCTAACATTTTCCAAACCCCTAAGTTGTATATAAGTATAATTACATATTATAATCTTCATTTTATACATAGGAGAACAGATGCTTAGAAAAGATGAAGGACCTTGACAGCGTTCACCTACCTACTAACAAGACTTATAGTAGGCCTTAAACATTATACCTTGGATATATTATATTTTGGAGCAGGCGGTTTAAAAACCTGCTCCAAAATCACCTACAGTCCTTCTTAAAACTGAAGTTTCCTCTATCTCACCCCAGACATACTAAAGTAAAATCTTTGGGAATAGTGTTAAATAACGTTCCTATGCATACTACATTGAGAACCAATGTATAGTCTCTCCAACAAAAGAAGCCTTCGATCTACATTACTTTCAAAAGGATATCAATATTCAATATTTCATATAGGAATACCCATTAGGGGTGGCATCCATCGGCTTAAAATAGCTTACATATGCTCACTTTCTTACTTTGCCATATCATGGTAAGGAACATTAAGTAGGACTTGTTATGAACAAGATTCACTTTATACACAAGAAGATTTTCTGGAACCTCACACTGGAACCCAACATTCTTACTCTCATCCAACTCCTTACAATGAAAGCTCGCTAATACAGCTCCTCCCCAAGAATTATCAATCAATCACTATATGAATTCTATTTTGGAAAGAGACTAAGCATAAGTCAATTCCATTCATTTGTCACAGACAGTACTGCCACATTTCTCCCCAGGAAGTAAAGCTGTCCCATCTTTCCTGATGGAGTGTACTTGACAAAACAACAGTTTTGAGGGGCTCACTGTGAAGAACTGGGAACCCCATCTTCTATAAGCCCGGTTTGAATAACAAGGCCCTCAGTAATAAATAAATATGAGTAAAAAAAACAGCTTAGAAGAAATCCACACACTACACATAACTGGGAAGGAAGAAAACCTTGCATCAGAATGAAGGAACAGATGATTTTTCTTAGGTAAGAAGGTGTTTAGGACAAGTTTACATGTAAGGGTGTAATTACAAAGATTTGAAAAAGTCAATCAGATTGCAACATTCACACAGGATGCCTAGCTAATAATGTAAATAACTCAAGAATCCTGTACACATAAATCTTCTGAGAATCTCAAAGAGTTTTATAGACATTGGATTAATGGCTCATATCAGGGATTATCATTCCTAACTCTCATATGGGAAAATCAAGGTCAAGTGTGCCATTCCTAAGGCCCTCCAATAGTCTCCTTTATAAGCAATGTTTTATAACACACCATAACAATAAGTCATATTCCAATACTAAAACTTCCGACAAATAGTCTGCTTTGAAATAAGAACCTTTGTTGAAAACTGTTCTTATGGATATTTATGAGGAAGTTCAAAAGTGTTAACTTGATCAGCAGTAATGAATCAAAAATACAAAGAATTCAGTACAGTTATTTTCAAAACTAAAGAGTATGTCAAGCAGTAATTTTCGCTGCCAGGTCCTCCCACCCCCAACCCCACCACTTTCTGGAGAAAGAAAACTCCAAAACATATGGCCCAGGAAGAAAATCTGTACTCGTTTATAGGAATGAACTGGCTTTTACATCTCTGCAGTTAGAGTACGCAAATGACTTCACAGGCAACAGCTTCCGTATGTTTCATATTTTTAACATTGACCGTTCATAATAAAGATTCTTTGATCCCAGATCAAATGTTTGAATCGATTTTCCCTACATTTACTCAGAGTCACCATTTAAAAGGCTCCCCTCTTTCCCACCTCAGATGTTTCAGCCCTTCCTGCAATCAGAACTGTCTCCATTTGTCACCTTCTCCATGGTCCTTCCCACCCCTTTGCTGTGGTTTTTAGCTCTGCTCCCTAACTTCTCATACAAAAGAGGCACAGTAATAAATAATTTTTGTACATAATAAGTTAACTACAGTAAATGAGATTCAGGATTTCATAGGCATCTTTTTTTTTTTTTTTTTTTTTTTTGAGACAGAGTCTCCCTCTGTCCCTAGGTTCCAGTGCCATGGTGCAATCTCAGCTCACTGCAACCTCTGACTCCTGGATTCAAGCAATTCTCCTACCTCAGCTTCCTGAGTAGCTGGGACTACAGGCGCATGGCCACCATGCCCGGCTGTTTGTATTTTAGTAGAGACTGGGTTTCACCATGTTGCTCAGGCTGGTCACGAACTCCTGAGCTCAGGCAATCTGCCCACCTCTCGGTCTGTCAAAGTGCTGGGATTGCAGGCGTGAGCCACCGCACCCGGCCCTCATAGTCATCTTTAATAACACCAAAAGCTCATGGTAAAATTTAGTATAAAAACTGATTGTTTCTCAAAAAATAAAAAGAAAAGAAAGAAAAAAATCCTTAACAGGCAAGGCCTTTGGATATATTTAAGAAAAATAAAAATAAACATTCCCTGGATTAAAACTAGAAAAAATGAACAGATACCTAAGTTCTAAAATTAAAACAAAACACCAAAGTCTTGGTAACTCATATAAACATCAAGTAAAAAAAAAAAAAAAAGTCTAGTAGGCCAGGTGCAGTGGTTCCACCTGTAATCCTAGAACTTTGGGAGGCTGAGGTGGGCAGATCGATTGAGGTCAGGAGTTTGAGACCAGCCTGGCCAGCATGGTGAAACCTCATCTCTACTAAAAACACAAAAATAGCCAGGCATGGTGACGTGCACCTGTAATCCCAGCTCCTCTGGAGGCTGAGGCAGGAGAATCGCTTGAAGCAAGGAGGTGGAGGTTGCAGTGTTCCGAGATCGCTAAGTCTAATAAATGCTACAAGTTTAGAATATCCCTAAGAATAAATTATTTAAAATGATTCCAAGGCCTTTATTTTAAGGCCTTGTTGAGAAGGAACAATTTTAATATAATCTTAATTCCTAAAACCTTGAAACATAAATTCTTCAGAAAGGTACTCATTAAATAAAAGTTAAGTTGAAAAACAGTTTCAAAATTTCCAGTAGTAAATAAAATAAATATGGGAGTAGCTTAACTATATATGGGTCCAATTAACCTGATATAGTAAAAGAAGAAGGTAGAGAACGAAAGGAAGAAAGGAAGGCAGGAAGGGAAGGAGGGAGGGGAAAAAAGAAAAAAATACCAGTGTTAAAAGTCCCTTTAAAAATGATTTTTTTTCACCCATTTTGTTTGGAATGGTAGGCAGGTCAAGTTTTAGGACAATTTAAGCTACTACGATTCTTCATTTTAAAATGCAGTCAGATACCACAAAAAAACACAGAATGCTAATTTGGACTCTGCCTTATCCTTTATAAGCATAAAAATCCTATACTTTTAGGTGCTAACACAGGGGGCCTAAGTTGGTTATGACCTGGGCAAAACTAAATTTTCCCTGGCTTTGTACAAGATCATAGACCAATCCCAATAATTATAGATTACCTTGCACACAGTGGCAAACTGCTGGTTATTTCCTGCTCCAACTACGATATAGCCATCCTTGGTTTTAAAAGCCTAAAAGAAATAAATACATGGGAAATATTATTTATATGTTGACAAGACCACAAAAGTTTACTTTAATTTCTAAAATATCTATATAGAAAGCTTGTTCTAAAGCAATGTTATTAATTCAATAACAATTAATTTGTATCTTTTTCATATATGTATATATATAGTATATCTTCTGCAAAAGATATACTACATATATACACACTGGCTAAATGTCAAACATTCAATAGCCACATGTGACTAGTGGCTATTGTATTAGCCAGCACAGACAGAATATTTCCATCATCACAGAATAGATCTCACTCTCTCTCAATATATATGTATCTATATACAAACACACACATATATGTACACACGTATGTATGTATATGTGTGTGTGTGTCTGTGTGTGTGTATGTGTGTGTGTATATATATATATATTTGATGAAAGGGTCTGGCTCTGTCACCCAGGCTCCCAGGATGGAGTACAATGGCATGATCTCAGCTTACTGTTCCACCTCCCAGGTTTAAGCAATCCTCCTGCTTCAGCCTCCTGGGTATCTGGGACTACAGGTGCATGGCACCATGCCCAGCTAATTTTGTCCTTTTTGTAGAGATGGGGTCTCAATATGTTGCCCAGGCTGGTCTTAAACTCCTGGGCTCAAGATCTGCCCACGTCGGCTTCCCAAAGTGCTGGGATTACAGGCATTAGCCACAGTGCCTGGCCCTTTTTCTTTTATATATGGATAGTTGGTTTCATTTAGATCGTTCTAAGCATTTCCTAGCTCTTCCGCTGTTACAACATTTGTCAAAAAAAATAAAAAAGAGTGATTCAAAAAAATAAAGAAAATTCATTATAATGTACAAAATAAAATACTATATCTTGGAGTATTCTGCAGGATTTTCTTCTCCTGAGCCTTCAGCATTTCTTAAGCATCTGTCTTTGATCTTTCACTTCACTTGCTTATTATAGTAGCCACTAGCCACATGTGATCATTAAATTTAAATAAATTGAAATTAAATTAGCCAGTCACTAAAGGTCAAATATTGTGATTCTATTTATATGAAATGACTAAAATAGGCAAACCCATCAAGACAGAAAAAAACACTAGTGGCTGCATAAAGCAGTGGAAGCTGGGGGAAGATGGGGAGTGATTGTTAATGAATACTGGGTTTCTTTTCAGGGCAATGAAAATGTTCTAAAATTGACTGATGCTTGCACAACTCTGAATACACTAAAAATCACTGGATTGTGCACTATAAATGGGTGAATTATACGGTATGTGAAGTACATTCCAATAAAGCTGTTATTAACAATTAACAATTCAGATCCCTAGTCACACTAGCTAAATGTCAGGCATTCAATAGCCACATGTGGATAGTGGCTATTGTATTAGCCAGCACAGACAGAGAGTATTTCCATCATCACAAAGTTCTTTTATACAGTGCTGATTGAGTGGAACTGGGAGATTGTATTGGTCATGTCTTCATTTCAGTCTTCATCATCCTAACATGATATCTGAAGAATGTCAGGCAATTAATAAATAGTAGGTAAATGCTAATGAATCAACCAAATGATTGCTTCCAGATAGCACAATGGTAGCTAAAATAGATGTCAAGTAATACATTATAACAAGGTTTTATTCTATTTACATTGTTGCTTGGTTTGGTAAGGAATGCTATTAAGGAGATATCACATAAACTCTTTTAAACATTCTCTCTTGTCCATGAGGGCAAAAGTAAAGTTAGTGTCATAGACAATGCATTAGTGTTTCTCAGACTACAGAAAGAAAATCTGCAACAAAGCTGTGGGTGAGGTACAAAGGATTTAGAGCTGAAGTATTGCAAGGAACCATTGACAACTGTGAAGTTATACAGGTTGTTTGCTTCCTTTTTTGTGGAGAAGGGTGAGGTGGGGGGTGAATAAGTAAATGTGAAGTAACAATCTGTGTTGGAACGTATAACGTGAAGAAAGGCTTTACAAATTTTGGATCAGTGACATGTCCAGTAAGTTTATATTTTCTGGGGTGTTCATTTCCTTTTCATAAGTAAAGAAATGCAAATGTTTCCCTGCAGCCTCCAAAATATATTTAAATATATATTTTATCAATATAAAAGTTTAAAATGTTTAAGAAGCTTCTAGATAGCTGAACATGCAGAGGTTCCTAAAGGATGGCATGCCCTGGGAGGGAATGGAAGGTGCATACCCCTCCCTATATCTTACCCTACACATCTCTTCATGTGGACACTTGTTAATATCCTTTATAATAAACCAGCAAGCACAATAGTTTTAAGCAAAGGTAACTAGTCAATGATCATTGAAAAGTGAAGAACTCATGGCAGCTGAGTCTCAGAATACAATCAGCCAGCCTAAAGATCATCAAATAGATTTTATAAAGATTCAGGTAAGATTAGGAGTTCTTTTTAATAATTATCTATTCCTTGTTACTGCTACAGTATTTATTTAATAAACATATTTTAAATAAGAACTTTAAAAAATAATATGTTATTGAGGACTTTTGCATCAATGTTCATCAGGGATATTGGTCAAAAAATTCTCTTTTTTTGTTGTGTCTCTGCCAGGCTTTGGTATCAGGATGATGCTGACCTCATAAAATGAGTTAGGGAGGATTCCCTCTTTTTCAATTGATTGGAATAGCATCAGAAGGAATGGTACCAGCTCCTCTTTGTACCTCTGGTAGAATTCGGCTGTGAATCCATCTGGTCCTGGACTTTTTTGGTTGGTGGGCTATTAATTATTGCCTCAATTTCAGAGCCTGTTATTGGTCTATTCAGGGATTCAACTTCTTCCTCGTTTAGTCTTGGGAGGGTGTAAGTGTCCAGGAATTTATCCATTTCTTCTAGACTTTCTAGTTTATTTGCATAGAGTGTTTATAGTATTCTCTGTTGGTAGTTTGTATTTCTGTGGGATTGGTGATGATATCCCCTTTATCATTTTTTATTGCACCTATTTGATTCTTCTCTCTTTTCTTCTTTATTAGTCTTGCTAGCGGTCTATCAATTTTGTTGATCTTTTCAAAAAACCAGCTCCTGAATTCATTGATTTTTTGAAGGGTTTTTGTGTCTCTATCTCCTTCAGTTCTGCTCTGATCTTAGTTATTTCTTGCCTTCTGCACCAAATCTAGCAGCATATCAGAAAGCTTATCCACCATGATCAAGAGGGCTTCATCCCTGGGATGCAAGGCTGGTTCAACAGACACAAATCAATAAACGTAATCCATCATATAAACAGAACCAAAGACAAAAACCACATGATTATCTCAATAGATGCAGAAAAGGCCTTCGACAAAATTCAACAGCCCTTCATGCTAAAAACTCTCAATAAATTCGGTATTGACGGGACGTATCTCAAAATAATAAGAGCTATTTATGACAAACCCACAGCCAGTATCATACTGAAAGGACAAAAACTGGAAGCATTCCCTTTGAAAACTGGCACAAGACAGGGGTGCCCTCTCTCACTACTCCTATTCAACATAGTGTTGGAAGTTCTGGCTAGGGCAATCAAGCAAGAGAAAGAGATAAAGGGTATTCAATCAGGAAAACAAAGTCAAATCGTACCTGTTTCCAGATGACATGACTGTATATTTAGAAAACCCCATCGTCTCAGCCCAAAATCTCCTTAAGCTGATAAGCAACTTCAGCAAAGTCTCAGGATACAAAATCAATGTGCAAAAATCACAAGTATTCCTATACACCAATAACAGACAAAAAGAGGGTCAAATCATGAGTGAACTCCCATTCACAATTGCTTCAAAGAGAATCAAATAACTAGGAATCCAACTTACAAGGGATGTGAAGGACCTCTTCAGGGAGAACTACAAACCACTGCTCAACAAAATAAAAGAGGACACAAACAAATGGAAGAACAATCTGTGCTCATGGAGAGGAAGAATCAATATCATGAAAATGGCCATACTACCCAAGGTAATTTATAGATTCAATGCCATCCCCATCAAGCTACCAATGACTTTCTTCACAGAATTGGAAAAACTACTTTAAAGTTCATATGGAACCACAAAAGAACCTGCATTGACAAGACAATCCTAACCCAAAAGAACAAAGCTGGAGGCATCATGCTACCTGACTTCAAACTATATTACAAGGCTATAGTAACCAAAACAGCAAGGTACTGGAACCAAAACAGAGATATAGACCAATGGAACAGAACAGAACGCTCAGAAATAATACCACACATCTACAACCATCTGATCTTTGACAAACCTGATAAAAACAAGAAATGGGGAAAGGATTCCCTATTTAATAAATGGTGCTGAGAAAACTGCCTAGCCAAATGTAGAAAGCTGAAACAGGATCCCTTCCTTACATCTTATACAAAAATTAATTCAAGATGGATTAAAGACTTCAATGTTAGACCTGAAATCATAAAAACCCTGGAAGAAAACCTAAGCAATACCATTCAGGACATAGGCATGGGCAAGGACTTCATGTCTAAAACACCAAAAGCAATGGCAACAGAAGCCAAAATTGACAAATGGGATCTAATTAAACTAAAGAGCTTCTGTACAGCAAAAGAAACTACCATCAGAGTGAACAGGCAACCTACAGAATGGGAGAAAATTTTTACAATCTACTCATCTGACAAAGGGCGAATATCCAGAATCTACAAAGAACTTAAACAAATTTACAAGAAAAAATCAAACGACCCCATCAAAAAGTGGAAGAAGGATATGAACAGACACTTCTCAAAAGAAGACATTTATGCAGCCAACAGACACATGAAAAAATGCTTATCATCACTGGCCATCAGAGAAATGCAAATCAAAACTACAATGAGATACCATCTCACACAGGTTAGAATGGCAATCATTACAAAGTCAGGAAACAACAGGTGCTGGAGAGGATGTGGAGAAATAGGAACACTTTTACACTGTTGGTGGGACTGTAAGCTAGTTCAATCATTGTGGAAGACAGTGTGGTGATTCCTCAAGGATCTAGAACTAGAAAAACAATTTGACCCAGCCATTCCATTACCAGGTATATAC